CAAAGTCAAAACATTTTCTTAGAATTGATTTAGTAACGATCAATCCTCATGTTTCGTGATTCCCCATATAAGGTTAAATTGATTATTATCGGATGAATCGATAATGATACGTGAAATTGACTCTAGTAAAAGGGAATCACGTGAAATTATTGTTTTTATTAAACGCCCGAGAAAATTATATCTCGTGAAGTTAAATAAATAGATAACTAGCGTCTTATAAAATCTGGAATAGTTACATTGTCGTCGTCGTCGTCGTCGTCGTCGTCGTCCTTGTCAGATATTCGCCTTGATTTTTTTATTCGATCTCCTTTTTTTATTCGATTCTTTTTTATATAAATAACGAACGTAAACGACAATGTCGCAGTAAGTTTATCTTGGGAAATAATTAATGGTAAATTCTTCGATAAGTGTCCGTAGAAACGTTACTCGATTTAGAATTAGAATTCTATCGTATATGTAAGCAGTTAAACGCTTATATATACATATATATATATATATATATATATATATGTGTGTGTGTGTGCGTATGCATATACGTAAGTACATACATACACGTACATATACATATACATATACATATAAATATACTTGAAAATGCGATACGATAAGATCTGCCGCGGCTTAGAGAACGTATATCGGCAAAAGGAAATAACAGGCTGAGATCGAAGTGGTGTTGAGCTGTGCCAAGCGTGTTTAAGGATTAGAGAAACTAACGTACGACGTTGACCGTCGTGTTTTGCTGAGGATCAAGCAAACGGGTAGAAGACCGCGAGAATCTCACTGAGATCTTTCCGTTTGATAGAAAAAAGATAGAAGAAGAAGAAGAAGAAGAAGAAGAAGAAGAAGAAGAAGAAGAAGAATATGGAGAAAGAAAGAAAGAAAGATATGATAAGAGATCGATCGATCGATCGATTGAACGAAAGAAAAAAAGAAAAATAAAAAATGAGCAAAAAAAAGAAGTAGAAAAAAAAGAAGAAGAAAAAAAAAGAGAAATAACAAAGCTATAGAGATATCTATTGGGACGTAACATTTTCGTGGTATTAGCGGTATTACTTTAAGACTAGGGTAAAACTTTTATCCATCTATCTCCTTCTATCTTTCGTTCTTTCTTTCCTTATTTCCAACGTTTCTCTCTCTCTCTCTCTCTCTCTCTCTCTCTGTTCCATTTGTCGTGATTTGCAATGTTTTATGGAGCGATACGCGCGACCGTGAAAGTCGATCGACGCGAAGTTCGATCTCCGTTTCTCCCAGACGTCTAGCAACAGATTTTCTCCATATGTCTAGGTACTGTTCTACTTTTATCATTTCTTTTATTTTTTTTTTTTTTGTTTTTTTTTTCATTTCTTTTCTCTCTCTCTCTCTCTCTCTCTCTCTCTCTCTCTCTCTCTCTCTCTCTCCCTACGTCTCTTTTTCTTTCGTGTTCCTTTTGGTATTCTCCAGATAGCACTTGTTACGTGATAGATAAGCTTTTACGAAGGAAAGATCGTTTAGATTATTAAACGATCACTCTTAAGTATATAATATTATATCTACATACATATATATATATATATATATATATATATATATATATATATATACGTAGATACACGAAATGACTATGATGATCTAATTTATCGACAAATTCATTTATTTCAAGTACATTAGGAACGAAGCTCTTGTTTTCTTTTTCTCCTTTGTTTTTTCTTTTTTCTTTTTCTCTTTTTTTTTTTTTTTTTTTTTTAAATCAAATGAAAAAAACTTATTTACTTCTTCACTTAATACATAATTAAAACGACAAGATCTCGCTTGATTGATAATTCTTCATAATATCTCTATTATTTGTCTCTTACGATATCATTTATGATCAAGTAGTAAGATTCTTTTATTTAAAAGTTATTATATCGAGGATGAAGGGAAAAATAAATAAATAAATAAATAAAATAAAAAAGGTAAAATATTATTACGTTATTTTTAATAACTATGTATGATGAATAACGATATGATGTTCGATTAATCACGCTCGTTCTTTTTCATTTCTTATTGTTACGTTTTATTCAATGTATACATTGTTATCGTCTACAATTGATCTAATTAAGATGATTAATGACTTTTTTCATGAATATTACGATAAAGTCGAAAATCTATATTAGTGAAATCCATTAATCTATTATTTTGACCAATTAAAATCTATATTTCTATCGCGAGACCTTTTTTTTTTTTCGTCGGTTTTGAATCAGTATAATATACGATATTAATAATCATCGTAGAGAAACAATAAAAACTTTAATATCATTTTTCAACGTTTGTTACATTGTTTCCGGATATAAGTTATGTCGTTAAATCGTTCCTTCGAATTTAAACGCAAGTTTCAAATCTTACGAGTCCTTACGATTAGAACGTAGTTATATTAGCCATTCAGTAAATTTTTTACACTTTGTTAATAGAAAATACGATTCATAGTGATAGTAAATAACTAGAACGAAAGAGAGAGAGAGAGAGAGAGAACGTTTGAAACGAGAGAACGGTTGTTAAAAGACACGCGAGAGTTCATTTCGCAACGCATAGTTCTTCTTCTTTTTTCTTCTTGCTGTTCTTCTTCGACTTCTTCTAACCAGAAAAT